ATGGATGTTGGATACTTTGTTCTGGACACTACTTGGCAAGTTTAATACTTTCTCGGCTCCCCTAATATTGCAATAATTACCATTTTAGGTAGTTGTACAAATGTTGCAACATTATTATATCTGCAAAAGCTTTCCCTTTATCTCTCTTCTCATCACGTGGCCCCTATATTTATGTATCTCTATCTTTCTCCTCATCTTAAATTCTGTATCTTGACCTTGTTGCAATATTAGATAAGCAGAGGAAGTATGTTTTTGGTGTATACCTTTTCTATGAAAACAATATATACGTCATGGTTAGAGTGTCTTTGTTTTGTGAAACTATTTTTAAGATACATATATATCACCTAAATTCTTATATGAAGCACATTACAGATAGGAATTAGTGGAGGTTTTTTGCTAGAATTTCATTGACGAAGAATGAGTAACTGTGTAAGTGTTTTTATTTTTAGATTAAGTAATAATGTAGTTGATGCAGTCAATTTACAATATCTTAACGCTTTAAGGCTGGACTAACCGGCTCTTGTGCAACAGAGTAATCCTCTAAATAATTAGATTTAACCTATCAATTATTAAAATCGCTAGTTTCTATTGGATAATTTAATTATTTGGATATAAATTGCTGGCTTTATACAGTCATACTAGATTGATTATTTATTAATTATTTAACATGCTTGCACTAGAAATTGCATGCTCAATAAAGCAATTTGTAAAAGTATCATCATTATTAGTGATATTGCATCCAAAACTGGAACTGGTGACTGCCTGACTGCTTGGGTAAGCAAAGACGATGCAAATTTGAGAAATGTTATTTGACTATAGTCCATTGATGTAAAATGTATAACTAGACGTAAAGCAGTACCTTAGAGTAGATGTTGTTTGAGTTTGTCATTACTCTGTATTAATTAGGTAATTTATGTTCCTTTTATGGATAAGGAAACTATTTTATCCTTAACTGCGAAATGCACAAACCTAAAGCACCTTAGACTAGATGTGGTTTGAGTTTGTTATTACTCTGTATTAATTAGGGAATTTATGTTCCTTTTTGTGGAAAAGGAAACTATTTTATCCTTTACTGCAGAAATGCACAAACCTATAGCTATTGTTATCGTAATTATTATTTTCTTATGTCCAGTTTCTCAATATAGTGCATAATAAATCACGTGTTATAATTGTTTTCTTGACAATCACATCAATCTGAAGATGAGGCTACTGTTTTTCCCTCTAATGCAAGCATAGTTATCCCTATGTGAATGTCAGTCTTGATCTTATCTGTTGAGGTTTTGATTTTGCAATCACGCCCCTTTAATTAGCAATGTTCTGAGTACTTGATGTAATAAAGCTATGTTATGCTACCTTTGATGCATTGTTCTTTAGAATTTGTTTCACTATATCTTTTATTTTGTTATTATTATTTAATATAATATATATTTTTTTTTATATAGTATTTCCGGACACAGGGAGGATGCAAATATGGAGATGCTTGCAGATATAATCACTCTGCACAGAAAGTTGAGAACGAAGGTCCAGAGCTTAATTTTCTAGGTTTACCAGTTAGACCGGTAAGATTATATTCTTGTTGCTATTTGGATTCCAAGTTTGCCTCCTGTGTTAAGCAATGTATACACTACTCAGAGACTTTTGACTAAACCTCACAAACTGAGAAATTAATGGCCTTTTTTTCCCCCTTATAATTTACCTTAGTCGGAGCAAGAGTGCACCTTTTACTTGCGTACTGGCTCCTGTGGCTATGGAGTTAATTGCAGATTCCATCATCCTGATCCTATTGCTTCGAAAGAATCTGAGGCCAGAAACTCCTTGGGTAATGGTGTATATGCAAGAGGTGGCAACAATTTTTCAGGAATGTATGTTGGTGATCCATTGCAAACTTCTGGGGTAGCACGGGGTATCCCAGACTTGGCAAATGGCCTAAGCTCAATGAATGGTTTGCCTTATGCTGAAATGAGCTCTTATCACCAAGCATTGCCTCAAAATGCTCGTTGGAACCAAGATCAGGTGCAATCTTCATGACCTTTCTCACATATTTTAGGCATATGAGTATTTTAAAAAATCTCTTTAACTTCTCTTTGAAAGCATGGTACATCTCTTTGTTCTTAATGTACTCAAGTATTTCACATTTGTACCAACATCTTTTACATGTTTTGATAATTAATCTTAAAACTTTGCTTACAAAATAATTTTGCAAACTGCTGAGAGGTGAAATGTATATTCAAATTTGCCTGACTACAGTCTCCTTCTCACCTATGTTAGCTAGTCCCTGTACTTATGTCATAGGATGCATATATGGAGTGTTCACATCTCTTTCTCTCTCTCTCTCTGTTTTTTGTTTTGGTTGTTTAAAATTAGAATATAAATCTTTGCACCATTTTTTTAATTTAAAATTACTTGGAGGCTTATTGATTATGTCCTTTTCTGATGAGTTTAAATAATCACAATTTTTGACATTGGAATATTATGTAATACTCCGTGATTGTTCTTTTTTATTGTGGAATAATAGATATGCTTGAGGCCAATGTTAATTGTTATGGAGTAACATTTTCAATTCTTTGACTTCTGAAATACAATGGACTTGATTAACGTGGCTTATATAATTTTCTGATCCTTTTCTTCCTAACATGAAATAATAGGCAGTTATTAACTTATTATGTATCAAGTTAAGGTTAAATCGGAAATAGTTTCTTTATCACCACATTAGGTAAGTGTTCTGCATTAATTATTACTTCTTACCCTGCCTACAGTGCTTTTCTTTGAAAGTAAAACTTATCATATATTTTAAGATCTTCTGAGAAAGTGCAACTTTTCACCACACATGTGCTTTCTTTGGAGATAGGTAATGATGGCCACACATATCCTACCTCTGTCAGAGCCAAATTACTTGCGATGAAACTTATGTAAGCCTCTTTAACCCCAAATTTTGATGGGCTAAGGCCCAATCACCATTAGGTCAACCCCACATGACCACATTCCACCACCTCAAAGAAATTTGAGTATTGGGGTTTTAACTCCCGAGTCTTTTCCCTCCAGGATATGGTTTCTTCTGTATCACGTTTATGTGCATCCTTTTTTTCCCTGTTGGTTTTCTTTTTAGGGTTGTAAGTGATTTGAGTTTTTGTCATTTTGCTTCCATACTTGCTTTCAACTGAAAAAAAAAAACATTACTATTGTATGGTGCTCAATTTCTTGCCAGGACACCCTCTGCTTTGGTAGTTAGTACAAACTGCAATGATTGCTGGATAGCTTACAGCTACAGTAATTAAGCTACTGAGGATCAAATTGTTCTAGAAAATTGTTTTAAACACAAGATTACTGTGTTTCCTTTGTCTTATTTTGTGTTTTGAAGTTTTTAATGATCCTGGCTTGCATTTCAATGCAAGTACTTTTTATTTTTATTGTCTGAAGAGTGAATTAGTGGCAAATACTCTCTTGTTAGGACAAGTAGCTTTTCATTAATTTTCGTCTACTTTTTTCAGGCCCAGGTCAACCTTTCTCTGTCAGCAAAAAAGACTCCTCTTCCGCATCAAATTGTAAACAACCTCTCTAAGAAAGCAGATCCTACAACACATTATGAACACTTACTACAGTCGGAAGAGTTTCCTTTACGACCAGGGCAACCTGATTGTGATTTTTTCATGAAAACTGGAGACTGCAAATACAGAGCTGCTTGCAGGTATAACCATCCAGTAAGTCAGGAATCTAAGCTACGTCTGCCGCTGCTTTCCTCAAAAGGCCTCTACTCTAAATCTGTATGTCTTACTGTTTCCTTCTATACAACTATAACTGGCTACTGTAACTTTCTTAACTTTGATATTAGATCATTGTGTTTAGTTTGCTTAATGAAATTGTAATTGGTTTTGTAGAAAAACCCTGAGCTTCCTAATTTAAATCCTGGCAATCCAAGGAAAAACGGAACATCTCATCAGCAGCAGCAAATGCAGAATGGACAGTACCCAGAACGGCCTGGACAGCCAGAGTGTGAATTCTTCATGAAAACTGGCAATTGTAAATTTAAATCTGCGTGTAGATACCACCATCCAAGGGACCGAATGTCTACATCATCTTCATGTGCTCTCAATGAGTCAGGCCTTCCTCTAAGACCTGTATGTACCCTAACTTTAATGATTATTTCTTAACATATTGCTACCTGGTGGCTTTTTTGACAGCTTCTGTTGTTGAAATGGAACTCTTAAGTGTAGATCTTTGTGCAGATATCTTTTCATAGTAGTCAATTGTATGATTGTATCAATAGATTATCAAATATCCTTCATTAGTTAATTTTTTTTTCACTTAATACGTATATGTAATATTGGTCACAATTGCTTTAACTTTTGCCATCATCAGGGTAGCAAAGTTTGCCGGAACTATGAGCTGCAAGGTACATGCAAGTATGGCCGAAATTGTCTGTTTCATCATCCCGATAACAGCTCGCCTGCAATTTCAGCTGCTCCCATTCCTCCAGTTGCTGATCAAGATCACAGCTCACCCAACCCTGAAGTTGCTACTAATTTGGAATCTCCAGCTGGTGACAACGTCGAGTCAGATTGGGGTGATGGCTGGGTAATGTGATGATCTCCAATGAGCAAAACTTTGTTTTTTTGGCAACATTGCTGGCATCACTGTCAAGAAAGGATGCCGTCTTCAGATTTTGCAAAGTTGCACCTACATACTTGTTAACTTGAGGAATTTGACAACTTTTTGTGGTTGCTGAATGCATAGTTGCATACCCCTTATCAGCAAACAATTTATTTATATATACTGATCCCATCTATACAGATAACTGTTAATCGATGTTACATGCTTTTAAGATTTGCTGAATCAGAGCATAGAGGTGAAAATACTTCAGTTTACTCATTTCACTTTCGTCTTCTGTCAGTCGTTACAGGTTGTACTGGTCAATATTATATACCCGTAGTTGAATATGGGATGCAAGGTAAAATCAATAGGTAGATTAGAAAGAAATCTGGCTGACTTATGATCTTGAATTGTGTGGAGATTGGATGCTGGTCAATTTAAGTCTTAACCATATAAGTATGTTCGTTGGTGTTTCATGTCATCCTGAATATAATCACTTCTTTCAAAAACAAGCTAATGTCTGCCCGATGATGAATGTAATATATAAAGCAAATAATTTGTTACCATTTGTTTCAAGTTAGTTATGGACTGAGGAAGTGCAGTGTTCTGTTTTCTGAATATGCGTTCGTACTACAGTTGAAAAAAATATTGTTCACTCTCCTGGGTAGTGGACTAGTGGGTAACAAGACTATCATCCCAACATCGTCTCACATTCAGCCAACTCCACCGGCCCGTTGCTCTCTGTAAGGATCGAACTCGTACCTTGATCTTTGTACTACCTTAGAATGAATTCAGGTACAAAAAATTGTATTGTTGATTTCTCATAAATTCTCATAAACAAAAAAAGTTTCTAAGAGTAGAAGATTGTTTAAAAAGCTTCATTACTTCACAACATTTTGGTCATACAATTGCTTAAATCTTAGCAAAACAAGTATAAATCTCACATTAACAGCCACCTTCTATTACAATTGTGGAAGCAAAACCAGTGCACCAACATTATTTACCAAATATGCAACTTAACCATTTATGCTTCACCTACAACCAAACAAAATAATACAATCAAATTCATAATCTACTATATGAACTAAATTACTGTATTAAGTAAATTATGATAGTACAAGTCTTACCGAAGTATGTTGTTGATTATTCTGATTTTGTTGCTGCTTTTGCTTTTGCTTGCCTTGGTTGTTCTGATTAGGACTCTGATTAGTGCCCGAAGCGCCAGCATTAGTCTTATCATTTTTCTTTTGGTCTCTGGCTGTGTTAAAGATCACAGTAAAACCTTCAGCTGATTGAGGATTGTTCACGTCCCATTCTCCGAATTTTGGCAAGGACCGGTTTCCTGTATTATTGCTTGCTTTCTACAGCATAATTTTTATACATAGCAAGATATTAGAATTATAACTAATAGTTATTCTAAACGAACAAGAGTAGAGTTATTGAAAAGCCTTCCTATAAGTTGTGCCAAGAAGCTATTAAGTTCTTCATCGTGTGTATAATCACGACTCACAAATAATGTGACAACAATTGAAGTAAGAGAGCCGAATCAGCATGGTCAATCATCATATAAGCTCATTCCAAGCCATCTCATTATTAAAAACCACATAATCACGTATATAGAACAAGCTGATTCTGGTGAGTTCTTAAATCAGCTTACAACGCACGTGTGTTAATCTCATTACGCCTATCTAGAGACTAGGTTAATTAAGACAACACACGTATGTTAAACGTGTAGGTCAAAGTAAAAGTAAAATAAAATCACAACATTTTAAATACCTTAAATGTAAATATTTAATCTTTAATGTTACAAAGTTTACAGATTAAATAAGGCCATTAAAAGCCGCCTTTTACAATTAAGTTATTACAACACTCGTAGACACAACAATAATTTATGACACTATAGGTACAAGAGAACGTTTAAGGGATAAACATCGCGATCATTCAAAGTTTAGAAAAGCATGCATGGACATCAAAATTTTCCTCATAGTTATATACAAACACCTAAAACAAATTCTATAGCACAAAAACAAACGAGTATAAAACAATACTAATATATGGTTTATAGAGAAAAAAGAGAATAATCTTACCGAAGGCATGAAAGATGATTGTAGGAGCTCTAAAAAATTATGAGAAACAAATTGAAGAAGTTTTTTCTTCAAGTTATTGGAAAACTAAGAAGACAAGAGAAATATGACAACCAAAAACAGGAAGAACAAGTTGAAGTATGAAGAAAAAAAATAAACACGTACATAAGATGTGGAATGCACGTTGTAATTTGCGTAGTTGTCAAACCCAAAAATAATTATATTTTAGTTATTGACATTTTCTAAATTTTAATTGGCCGTTTGATAATTTCTTAGAATTGTCAAAGAGCCGTTTGGAATCTAGGGTAGTCCATAAAGGGATAACAATGATCATAACATAAGTCTTCAGCTTAAAAATTAACTTTGTCAATCAATAAGCCGTATAACGTTCATATTTAATAATTAATGCATGTATACTATATAGTTGATGTGAATCACGTCAAAAAAGAAATTACATATTTACATTGACTAAAGACCTGTATATAGTGTATTAATTTTGGCTACTCGTTTGATACATAGGTAGTTTTAAATGACTATTCAAAAAAAAAAAAAAAAAAAAAAAGTAGATTTAAATGACACACTAATGTGATGAATGAATTTAGATGTAATATTGTACATGAAATTGTCATTATTTTATTTTGGTGTGGTGAAAGCAACAAGGGCAAATATCATGAATTGAGATGTAATATTGTACATGAAATTTTCATTATTTTATTGTGATGTGGAGAAAACAATAAGGGCAAATATCATGGACGGATTTGATTAAGGGCTTGTTCTCTTACGTTGAAATTCAGTTCAGTTCAGTTCAGCTCAATTCAGTTCACTTCAGTTCAGCTCCTAATTTCCTTCTCTTATAAAATATTCATTTCAGTTCAGTTCAATTCAACTGAGTTCAGTCAATGAGAATAGGCCCTAAGTCTTGAGTACCACCAATCAAGGTATCTAAATTGACACGCACCTCGGTCTTAAATGCAGTACATAATTCTAACCAAATAAACCAATTACAAATTTACGTGCAATAGTAAATCGTTTTAGTAGCTTAGTTTAGTTTCAACAATAAATATTTTAAATGTAAATTAAGGTATTTAAAAATTATTATATAATAATCATCGTATTTTGATATACTTATATATTAACCGAGTTGAGTTCATAGAAAGACCTTTTTTCTTTAGCTTTATTTATAAAAGTGAATTGAATAAGGTCATAATTAAGCTTAATCTTCTGTAGCTCATTTAATTATACTCTTTCCATCTCATAATATATACTGCTCATTTTTTTTTTAAGAAAAACTTTAAAAACCTGACTGCAATTTCTCCAAAGTCATGACATACATTGTTAGATTCAACATCTCAATGTGTGACATTATGATATCAAATTTTATAGTTTTTGTTAATACGTAATCAATGATATTGATCAGATGGGACAATAATATTTCCCTCCAACTAATCTTAACTACTAGCTCTTTTAATGAAGTCATTTGTTTAAATGTTTAATTATGTATAATTAGGAAAGCTATTGTTGTGAAATTCAATACTTCCTCTAATATCTTAAATTGTTATTAAGATACACATATTATATATGTATACTAATTATGACCAAGATATAAATTTTTTTAATATATATAGAGGAGGGATCCGGTGAGAATAGGTTCATATGTGAGAATTCATACTTATATGAGAATTGATTTTAAATTTAGAACATGTAAGTAAAAGTTTAGAACATACGAATTAAAATTTAGAACATGTGTCTGAAATTAAAATTTAGAACATCTGAGTAATAATTTAGAACATCTATGTGAGTAATATGTTTAGAACATTTGATTTAAGAATTAGAACAAGTGATTAAAAATTTATAAAATATGCTTTATGAAATTTTAAACATATGAGTAAAATTTAGAACATCTAATTTAAGATTATGAACATGTGAATAAAAATTTAGAACAAACTGATATAGAATATAGAAAGTGTGAGTAAAAAATTTAGAACATATGAGTAAAAAAATAGAACATACGCTTTAAAATCTTAAACATATAATTAAAAATCTTAGAACACACATTTTAAAATTTAGAACATATAAGTTAAAATTTTGGAACAAGTTATTTAAAATTTATGATATTAAACTTAACTAATTTATAGTTTAGAACATGTGAGTACTAAATTAGAACATTTGATTTAATTTAGAACACCTAAGGAAAAGTTTAGAACATTAGAGTAAAAATTTAGAACATATAGAGTGTTCTCACATAAGAAAAATTCTCATATATATATATATATATATATATATGTTTATTACGAAAATGTTTGGATTATTCAGTATATATTTTTTCAGTGTCATTGATGATTGATATATAATTCTTACGGATACTAGGTAGTTAGTTGACGCGCTCAATTTAGGCACAGATATTAAGGAGAAGAGAGAGAGTGAGATAAAATGATATATAAAGCAAGTGGGGTAGCTAGTAAATACTCCGTATAAATATGCAAGATATAAAACATACCCAAATAGGAAACATGTCAACTAAAAATAAACTTGCAAAAAAGAAATACGTGTCAACTAAAAAAACTAACGGAGGTAAGGGTCTGTTCATATTTACTTAATTTCAGTTCAGTTCAGCTCCAATCAGTTCAGTTCAGTTTAGCTCCAATTAGTTCAGTTCAGTTCAATTCATTTCAGCTCTTAGGGCCTGCTCACATTTACTTAATTTCAGTTCAGCTCCAATCAGTTTAGTTCAGTTTAGTTCAGCTCTTAATTTCCCTCTCTCATAAAATATTCATTACAACTTAGTTCAGTTCAGTTCAATTCAGCTCCAATCAGTTCAGTTCAGTTCAGTTCAGTTCAGCAAATGTGAACAGACCCTTAATTTCTCTCTCTCATAAAATATACATTTCAGCTTAGTTCAGTTCAGCTCCAATCAGTTCATTTTAGTTCAGCTCTAATCAGTTCAGTTCAGTAAATGTGAACAGGCCCTAAGTATATATATATACAATTTTTTTTTTTGAAAACTATATACGTTTTATTTGCAACAAAGGAATATTATACATCTCACAAATAATACCCCTTTGTTACAAATAATAGTTAACGGAGGTAGTACATTAATATTTAATGGTTAAAGTTGTGTGCTAATAATTTATGTGAAGATCAAATTGAGAATTGGAAAAAAAAAATAAGAATAAAAAAAAAATAAAAAAAATTAAAGCGTAAAACAAGAAATATATATGGAAAGAAAAAAAAATTGAAAACAACAAATCATAGATACGTCTGTAAGAAAATTGGTTAACGCGTCCCAAATAAAATCCGAACAACATATGATATGATAAGCTCATAAATTTGTAAGAAATAAGGAAATAAATCTTACACAAGCAATTAAAATCCAAAACAAAACCAAATTTCACCCTTAAAAACTTACCAAAATCGAGTTAACCGACCATAATAAAACCTTGATTGCCAAGTATTCTAAATTCTAATGTTCTATATAAACCCAACTTAACCTCATTATTGCTCATCTCAAAAAAAAAACCCTACCTAATTACATTTGTTCATCTTAAACCCTAGCCTAATTACACTTACTCTCAAATAATCAGACAACAATGGCTGCTAATTACGTCGTTCTAGAAGGCGAGCACAACTGCATCAACCACGCTACCGGAGGTGACGATTACGACTTAAGCGTAGAAGAGCTTCGATTCCTTTGTCAAAAATACTACGACGAATACGACGCAGTTAGAGTAATTCTTCCTAATGAACAAGAAAAGGCTTTTTCTTACACAACCCCCGTTATTCAACCTGATCTTCCTCGACCTCCTAGTAGACGCCAACGTATATTAGGCCGAATTGTCAAGGAAGTTGTGTTGACTTCTTCGGAACAACAACAACAACCATGTTATAAGTCTTATTACACTACTGCTGAAGATAATCCTGATGTTGTTGCCATCAACGACAACGACAACGACAACGATAACGATAACGATAACGATGATGATGTTAAAGAGCTTGGCGAGGAGGATATGGATGTAGATGATTATGATGATGATGATGATAATGGGGTGGACGAGGGCAAGGACGACGAGCGCGTCGAATCGAGTTTTGTTGTTGAATCCGTGGCTTCTAATGATTATGTTTCGGAAGATGATAGCATGGATGAAGATGATTCTGTTGCTGAATCAAAGTTCACAATATTCATTGTTAATTAGTTTATGAATTATGTTTTGGATTTTTTTTTTTAATTTTGTGTGATTGAATTGTTTTACGAGGAGTTTAGGTTATTAATTTGTTACCTACTTGTTTTCTTTCCTTTGTTAAATTTGTTGCCCTAATTTTTGGGTATTGAAAATATGCTATTCAATAATTCAGCTTGCTTGATTTTTAATTGGTATATTACTTTATCAATTTCATTTTAGTTATCAATTTGTTTTAATTTCCGTTCTAATTTTGTCTGAAAATAGACTAGTTTTCAGCCTTTTAAAGATTAGTAGTAATAATAGTATTTACAATAATAAATTAAACTGTAAGAATACTAGTTCAATAATTAATAATAATGGTAGCAATTATCATTAAAGTTATAACATAATTCTTATAATTAATCTGATAAGTGATGGAAGTAAGATTCGAATTGAAAACATTTTACATTACTAAAAAATCAATCTCCAAGACTACAACTAAACAATAAAAGAAATAATTATTATCCAATATCGAAATTACTAATCACAGCTTCCTTAATAATATCTACACTTATTGTAATTTCGTTGAAAAAAGTTACGTTGCACTGCAAATTGAGGTATGAAATTTGTTAATTAACTATATTAGAGTACGTACAAATAGCTTAACTGATAGATTATTAATGTTTAATGTCGAAAAATTTGCTAAATTTATGATTTTCGGATTATATATACAAGTTTCAACATTGATATTATGATATGATTTGGTGAGTAATATCTTTAGGATCTGAATTAGTGAATCAAATCTTTAGGGTATTATAAGTTAAGTATTTACACGGGATGTTGTAATTTGTTAAGCATTAGGATTATTTCGTACGTGATAATTGATATACCCCAGGATATTCTAACTCGTCACTTATTTCTTATATATACACATCAGGTTTTTTTTTTTTTTACTTCGTATATCATAGGCGGATCTAGTGGGTGGCCTACCCGGGCCTTGGCCCCCCTATGCCCAGATTTTGATACATATAAATAAAAAATCTTGTGTAAATTATATAAATTTTGTAGTTGGTTAGTTACTTGATGTAAAGATGTGGAAAGGTAGGGTCCGAATCCTCTATCCCACTCATATGTCCCATTCGTTTTGATTGGTCCACGTCACTTTAAATATCAATATTAATATTTAAAAAATTTAATAGCAAATTAAATTAAATAAATTTTACATAATTTATATTTTAGTCCTTATCTTTTTTTTGTTTCTCCTTTACACAATTACGTTTAATTCAATCGCATCATTTTTTTCCTGTATACTACCTCTATAACTCTAGAAGAATCCTTGATAGACATGATAAAACAATCCGAGCATATCAATCATTATTATAAAAATTCATAATTGAGTAAAGATACAACTTCATTGTAAATTCTAAACCTTTAAGAAATTGAAAATGCAGAAAACATACACACAAAAATAAAACTGAGAACTAGATTAGCTTAGTTGTTGAAAAGATGTGAGCACAGAAGAATAAACTAGGCCATAATTTCCATAAGATCTATCCCTCTAGTCATGGAACGTGTGATTCATCATCCTGCAACATGCCAACAAGAGATCAAAGTTACAAAGTATCAAGCCAACCAACTATTAAAATATAAAAAAGTATTAAAAGTATTATCACATTTTACAAGTATGTCATATACTTTGGTTCAAAAAAAAGTATGTCATATACCTCTAAAAAAGGTGTCGGTCTTCTTGATCATTATATGTTTGTGGGGCTCCAATTGTTGACATTTGTCCCTATTAAGAAATGTTTGTATGAGTTCTTCTATTAAGTCCACAACAGATATAGTACTAAAAGGATATGTAAACTTACATTTAGGAGTTGAGTTAAACTTCCTGAGCCAAGGTCAACACTATCAACATCGTCGTAGAAGAAAGGAGTAGTATAACTGAAATGTGTTATAGGGTAATTATTTGACAATGGGATGGTATAATCCATTTGCCTCACAGAAGTAGGGAGTATAATTCATTTCTGAAAAAGTTGTTTTGCTGACCTGTTATATATACATCAGCTTGAATATTAGTAATTATCAATAAGAAAAAATATTGCAGGTAGTAATTGTAAGACTATATGTATAATCCAAATACCTGATCGTTTGTGCAATGTTTTTTGCGAGTACGACCTTTTTCTAAGGAACTCTTGCAACGAGTAGAACCATTGTTGGAGCCATTACCTCTTCCACGCCCCCTACTCCCATGACTACTGCCTCTCATTTTTATTCCTTTCACTGTTGAGGTATCACATTGCAGCTCTACATTAACATTTTCTTCACAATCTATACTCTCTTCCTCATTATCATCCTCTTCTCCACTTATCAATTTCTTTAGACGTGCTTCTACTTCCGCTAATGACTTTTGATGTACATCTAAAGCCCATTTGCAAGTATCTTCACTTTGAGCTGCAACTCCTGCAAAGTGGGTAAATAATTTACCCAATTCTTGAAATCGTATCCTCGAACATATTTTTTCATCTACTTGTCGAGTAGACAACTTATGTTGTTGACAAATTTCAACTTTCGCATCCTTTTTCCATCTTTGTAGAATATATTGGTTTGTAATCTTGTGAATATTTTTTGAACAAAGAACCTTCAATGCATGTGAACAAAGTATCCCTACAAACTCAAATTTTCTACAGCTACATGAAATAGTATCATTTTCTGGGTTATATGTAACAAAATGATCAATCTTTTTCCTTGGAGGATAAACTTTATACCTATAAGTTGTGCCAACAACCTCCTCTTCTTCTATTATACAATCCCATGCTTTCCAAATTTGACATTGGAATAACTCAAACACTTCGGCAGTGTAGATAGTTGATGCATGTTTTAAAATTCGAACTGGATATGGTAAAGCTGGAGAACTATGTTTAGTCTTGAAATCTGCCACACTTTCTTCATAACGCCTATCATTGAGAAGACGCTCAAAATGCTCAAAAAACTGACATAAGTGATTTTTATTGCTACTATACCTCCGTAATTGAGCATTCATACTTTCGCTACGTTGTGTTGTACTCATATCAGCACAGAATGTCTGTCTCCCATAAACTAGTGCCCACTTCTCTCTCAAATTATACACCCGTTCCAACCAACTATTGCCAACCAGATCGTATTTAACTAACATATTGTCCTAAGCATCTGTAAAATCTGCTTCATCATCATAATCATAAACACAACTACTAAAATCTTTAGCAAAATCCTTAAATTTCTCAAATACATGGTGAAGATGTTTTGCAGCATTCCGGTACATGTGCCAGACATATAGTCGATGATAAGTTTACGGCCATTTTGTAGATAATGCATTTGCCATTGCTTGGGACAAATTTGTAATGACCCAATTTCTTTATCAAAATGATAATTCTGTACCTCCAAAAATCGCATATAAAAATCAATAAAAATACAATCATCCAAAACCTAAACAACTACTCCCTCTGCCCCAATTTACTTGCAACATTTTGACTGGACACGCTTGGCGATGCATATGTTTGACCGTTGATATCTTTTATTATATATTTATATAAGTTATAAAAATTTTATACTAAGAAATTATACATTAAAATAGACCTAACAATATCTTAAATGATTACATTAACTTTCATATAATAGTTAAAAAAATTTGTCAAAGCGAGATGTGTGAATAGTGCAGAAAGTATAAACGTTGCGAGTAATTTGGGACGGAGGGAGTATATACGCAGTATAATTTTGACAATGCTATGGCTTATACTAATAGTAATTATCAATATGCGCTCTAATAGCTACCCTAATGACCAAAAACAAACAAAACATATGCATATAGTATTTCATAGATACGTAATTCAATAAGATTCATACCTCGTATGGTAAATTGTCGAAATCGCTTGTCAATACTTCTCGTGGAGTATCCATTAAAGTGAATTTTAGTGCTTTAGTATTTATGGATGCAATTAGAGAAAGAATAAATTGAGGTAACTTTTAAAAAAAAAATTAGGGTTCTTCTAGAGTTATAGAGGTAGTATATAGGAAAAAAATGATGCAATTTAATTAAACGTAATTGTGTAAAGGAGAAACAAAAAAAAAAGATAAGGACTAAAATATAAATTATGTATAATTTATTTAATTTAATTTGCTATTAAATTTTTTTAATATTAATATTGGTATTTAAAGTGACGTGGACCAATCAAAACGAATGGGACATGGAATGGGACATATGAGTGGGATAGAGGATTCGGACCCGGAAAGGTAAGGGTTCAATTCCCCCTTATTTTCCCATTCAAAACTACCCTATAAAAAGCCTGTTTTGTGAATAATTGTATATGTCCAAAAAAATAATTGTATAAGTCGAGACGAATCTAACAAGATCCCAAATGATTATATTTTTACTTAGTTATAAATCGGTAAAGTTAATCAAAGTGCAGCACATCAATAGTGTAAAAGTCAAACTGTTGCAACTTGCAACTATAAAAAAAACCGGAGGAAGTACTATCGTTTTACTTATTCGTATCCGTTCGTAGAGCTCACATGTTTGTTTCTTCTACATCGTATTATTCTTATCCCCCAACCACGATGAAATACCTAAGAACCCTTTATTCGACAATTACTCACCAAAGTCTAACAACATGTAATTTTTTGAGTAATTTTTGTAATTTATTTGCAATATATGGTTTTAGGGTTTTTAATTTTTTTTTATTTGAAATAAAGGGTTTTTAATTTTCTTAAATTATCATAATTAGGGATTTAGGCCATGTTTTGTTCACCTTATTTCCACTTATTTTAAGGTTAATAAGTTCAAATAAGGTGGTGAATAGAACACACATTTAATTTAGGTATTAGGGTTTCAATTGAATTAGGGGTTTTGTATTTAGAGCTTTTGTATACAATTCATTTTTCTTTCTTTCTCTTTTTTTTCCTTTTTTTTTTTTTTTTTGGCCTAATCTTGATCTGATTTTCAAAGGTAGAATATCCAATTCAATGGGTTTTTTGGTATGTAAATGCTATGATACTGCATCCGGTAGAACGGAATGTAAACTTTTCAAATGGGTTGAAGAAGAAATTTTAGAATGGCATAGGGTTATTACAAATCAACTGGTGCTAAGTTAGTCAAAAGAAAGAAATTTAGAGCCGTATAATTCGCTTAGGTTTGAGGAAGATGGTGAAAAGTGAAGGAAACTGGAGTAAAATTGAATGATAAACTCGTAAGAGTCGTAACATAACTTGCATGAAGAAAATGCTTGTAAAAAGTAAAACTGTATATCAAGATCTAGACCCAAAATCTGCCTGTATTATATATACTCAGAGGTTGATGACCCAAAAGAAGTGTAAAGTACACTATTCTGGAAGCATTACACAGACAGCAACAACAGACAGTAAAAGGTTCCGAAATCTGGCGAATCGACATAATAATACCAGAAATGGCAGTTGAAGCTTTGTCTTCTCTTACAAAACCATATTCTTGGACAAACATATTCCTACAAAGTTATATGGTTGAATCATATTGACAAATGTCTCAGTCCTTGAAGAAAAGGGCATGTCAAAGAAATGTATGGTCAATAGAGTTGGAAAATTGGTCGAGTTAGCAGCTCAGCCAGACAGCAAGAGTCCCACTCAGCCATTACTCAAGGCAGTAGTTGGATACATACATCAAGGGCAAAGGTCCCTTTCCAAGAGCTGTTGAGCTTTTGTACTGTTACGTTCCTGCCACACATGAAACAGAGAGGATCAGTAATAAATCTATAGTGACCTCCTTGGTATCGTTACCATGGAGCTAGTCTTGGGTAAAATTGTCTCACGTTAATTTATTGTGACATGTTTAAAAGTTACAGCCCAAAATTGTATAGGTTACAACTCAAAAACAAGGGTGAAAAAATCACGCTAATTGTGAAATTGTCTTGTACAAGATTTTGCCATGAATGTCTAAAGTTTATTAGACTGGAATATACAGTGATTTCCAGTGCCAACTTCCAAGAATAACAAGGTTTCTCATGATAAGTCAATAATTATACAAGCTCATATAATGTATCAAAATCTAACTACTAATACTGCCTTAAAAAAAAAAAACAAGAAAAAATTTCAAGAGCATGGAGAGCATCACATAAAAAATGATGTAATGTGTTCAATTCAATACCAAATTTAAGAATGTTGAAAAAAAATACTCTTAATAATAATCCTAGTACTCAGAACAATATTATATTAGAGCTTTACTTTCAATACTTAGTGTATTACAGTGATTAAGATAGGAACCTTTCCCTGTAAAAAAAATCAAGTTTTCAAAACTGGAAATATAGTGGTTCTAGTACCAAATTTCAAGATTAACAAGATTACATTAAAATAACCATCCAAGCTCTCATATATAGACCTAATTAAGAGGATATAAAACTAACAATTTACTCATCAAGCCGAGGAGTTTATATGCAAATTTTAATGTAAGCAATTTTACAAAGGCTTCTGACTTTTGTTCTTCAAATCTTCACCTTCATTTCACCTCTCTACTTAACAGCAGACAGAGTACTGCACACTAGATGCAATTGATTTTAATGGTTCTCCATTAATTTGAACTTCTAACTTTATTGAGGAGAATGAAGATGTATGCAGTCTTTTAGTCCTACAAAGCACCGAAGCAGCAGAGTTAAAGATGGCTGAAGAATCAGAAGAACTACACATATATCGGATTCTTTTCAATGGAAGACAATCCTGCTCCATACAAATTTATAGTAAGCCATAAGCAAACAAGCAGTACAAAGTAATGACAGCATCAAACAAGCCTGAAATTTTAGCAATAATGAAAGCAGAACCCTTCAACATATGTAGTTCAAGCAACTTGGGTAAATGCACACTTGCACAGTATCAGCAAAGGCTTCAACTAAAAGAATCTTTAACATGCCTCAGCATGTATTTCATTCATCAACACTTCTAAGATATTACAAGAAGATTAAATACTAGATATTTGTCCACTCAAATTCTACTGAACTTAGACTTCAAAACTACTTGAAACAGAGCCACTTCTGAATATATGATTCCACTATTAGCTATTTCCATCACAATTACACCTCCTTTTTGGGAATGAAATATGATTAGAATAATGAAAGTTTCAGTCTGAAACCAAAGCAGATGTCATTTACATGTTCCCAATTCCCATGTATCAAAACATTGTTATCATTGGTAGACGCTTCTATAGCAAAAGTCTGATTGCAAAAACAGCATGCAAGCTATAAAACTTGATTATGCTAATTTTAGTGTACAAGGTACAAACTCCTATTGGTTGAAGTAATGTCATGAATCCAAGATCTGAGAGTCTTAAGATTATTTGAATCTCACTGATTCAGCTCCATCTGAAACCCACAAGATAACTGTGGTCAAATTGCCAAATTTATCTGGTAAATCTAAAATTACAAGGCAGTTGCAATAATTTTATTTTTTTAATAGTCAACATGTGAGAAAGTATACTAACTTCTTTTAACAATACAAGGGATGTATTAATTTTAGCATGAAGAGTCGCAAGATTAATTACACCTGATTTTGTAACAAATAGATACAGGTAGAAAACTAACATTTTGGCATTTATAGGGGGGCTCATAAAAGCAGGGTAACAATAGCAATTTTATGGACCATTTTACAAACTAACTTTTGTCAGTGATAAGGGCACAATTTTCCTTAAATGTTCTCTATACTTAAGGCTGCAAACAGGCCTAACCCAGCCTCCCCTCTTTTTTTAAAGATGAGGTTGGGATTTCTCCATTCACCAGAAAAGCATACAGGATTTAAATACAAGAAAAACCATGTGGTACCAACCTACTGATGGGCAGACAGTAACAAGCAGTTTACTTATGTTAATAGCAATCCTCAAAACCTAAAGATCACTACGTAGTAAATGAACCGTTTGAAATTTCAAAATCAGAGATCAAAGGGTGTAAAGATAGACATGTCGTAGGGAATTAGAAGAAAACAAAAGGAAGATTCTCTTTGTCTAGGTATTTTCACGAAAAGAGAATCTTTGTCAAAGAAGCAAAAACAGATGGATGCTATAGCCTCCAATTTTCACAGGATAGCCAAGTCATAAGGATTTGTAAATGACAGATGCAACTAAACACTTCATGAGCAGAAAGGGTAAATTGCAGAATCCTTTGATGTATTGACCATTCAATAGGGATGAATATCAGCACACTATGAGAGATTCAACCCTTTAAGGCACTCCCTAATCAAACTCTATAGTCAAAATATGGAGAATCCCGCTAATTGGATAGGAGGTTATCTTGATGTCAGGTAGGCTGTCAAAGAAATAACCATATAGGCAAACAAAGTTGAATGCATAATGTTGACAACAGCATAGAATAGTCACATGCCAAAACTATAACTATTAAAAATTTAGTATCCAGAATTAAAAGCAATACCAGGTGACAGCAAGTATTCATTCAGCTTTGATGCAGCAGACTGGGACTTGGCGCTGATCTCCACCTGTTTCCTCTTTAAACTTGTTGAACTAGGAAAGCGGCGGCAGAAGGGTCACCTAAATTAAGGAAATCGCTTCATTGTGTGGCCCACTGCCCTCAGATCAATGTCTACAAATACCATCAACTATAGTCAATAAGAATCAAAGATAATGCTACGACATCATTGCTGAATCATAGTGAGATGCTTTAATTTAAACACGAATTCTACTCAAATGGCATGTTATGATGCCACATACATGTAAATATACAAGATGCTTATGCTTATAAAAAGCTTCTGGTGTCAACATATACCACATATTAAAAGGAGTTAGTTAAAAGATGTGAATAAGTTCCAAAACAGAAAAACATTAAAGTGACAGTAAGAATCAGTTTGAAATAAAAGGAATACAAGTTAATATTATATAATCCAAAATAACTAATACATAATAACTAACTTTTATTATGTACTTTGACCTCAATGCCAAAGGTACTCACCAAGTTCAAAACAGTAATAGTTGAACTTCTACGAAAACATGAAGCATAATTTAAATGTTAAGCCAACAAAACAGAATTCTCAGTGGAATCTATAGCTAGCATAATTTCTTGACAGGTTCTAAAAACTTATAATTTACAGTCAGCCAGTCACAGAGATATACCAATTACCTGATGCACCATAAGCTATGATCTTCCACAGTCACGAAAAACATAACCCCAGCTGCATTGTACATGTACAAGTAGAATAGCTACCAACAAGTCACGCAAATTGCAAACTATAGGATGCCACCATCACCAGACAGCCCAAAATATGACACACCAATATTGCAATGTGCCCATCCCTGCAGGAAAACAAAGTAGGTAACATTTTTTAAAAAAAATAAAAGGCATTTGATAGAAGATAACAGCAATTTTTGTTTCTGCTAAATGAGATCAAGGATATTCCACCTTGGAATCTTCTCGCTTGAAGCTTATCTAAGAACCTGCAGAAGGAGGAGTTTATCTCTCACACACAAATCAAATGTTCACTTGATAAACTAACATGAAAGAGAAGAAGCTAACTAGACATATCACAAACAAGTGTCATGCTTTCTGTATGTGAGGCATACAGAACAAGAGATACAACGTATGCAACTGAGATACAATTGAAATCATCTCCATCTGATCCGCTAAAGCAGCAGAATATTGCGTAAAAACTAAAGAGAATATTGGACAGAGGAATTTACAAAGGCAACAAAAATCACTTTGATCTATTTAGTTTGTCTTCCTTTTCCACAAAAAGGATGGGAAGACAAAGGAAAACCAATTATATAAAAATTATGGTGTAGTTCCATCACAGAGAAAGGTAAATGGACACTCCCTAATGTATCTCTGTTAGCACTTAGCACTCAACAAAGAATCCTTAAATCTCACTATTCTTGCTTCCAGGCATACAAAATCAAAGAGAAACCAAGTTGGTGCGATTGAGAATCTCGAATTCTTTGCGAAGCTGACCAATGCAATACACTAGGATCACAAAGAGGTTGGCTAGCCCATATCTTCTCAGCCGAAAGACTAGTTCTGAACATAAAAACTGCACTTCCAGGGGATGTACTGAAAAGCCAATTATGCACATCCCAGAAAACTTCAACAGGGAGGCCATCAATCAGGATAGTGTGATTACCCCTGAACTTCCAACGAAGCCGCTTGACCTGCATCACATTTTTGGTATCCACACGGACAATCAAGCACGGGTCGTTAGTGCTAAAGGTATCGCACTCAATCATGAGATCGTGCACAGGACCGTTTTCGCTAAACTTAGCCTTTGCATAGAATACCTTCTTCCCATAAACATGTTCCCTCTTAGCAATGAAAACAGCAGTACTAGGAACTTGTGTAGCATTAGTCTTTTTAAAAGCTTCCTTCCTCATATCTCCAAGAAGAAGAATCATTTGCTTATCACACACAATTGCCAAGTAAAAACCCTCCAAAGGCTCAGGTCCAGATCCAAATTTTGCTGATGAAAGGTCCCAATATATATCAATATTACTAGACTCAACATCTAAACTTTTAGACCCTTTTCTCTTAGAAAACAACCATGGCTTAACATCAACCTTACACAAACATTGATTGCTTGAATCATCAATTCCAACACTTAGACCTTGCCCCATCAAATTCTTACTCCATGTAACTGTAATTACACATGACCTCCCTCGAAATCGACATTGGTATACACAAGTTACCAGATTTTGAGCAGTTTTATTACCAGATGATGATGAAGAATCCGAAATTTGCACAGCATTTTCCCCAAAACAAGATGGGAAATCCCTCATTTTGATGAAAAAAACTCCCTCCAAACCCCAAAATTCAAAATTCTCTCTTTTAAGCCTTTTCACAAACACTTGATGTGCCTATCAAAACCCACATCAAAAATCACCCAATTACAACTAAATTCATCACAAAAAAAAACACATTGAATACAATTATACAAAACTAAAGAATTCTGTACTTCAGAAACGTACCTTAGTTCATCTTGAAAACGTCACCCAGAAAAACAAAATTCAGTAAAAACCCAGAAACGCTTTCAAACAAATGAATTAATACCTCGATTAAATCATGTGTTCAGAGCAAAAATAAACGTTTTTTTTTTTTTTTTTTTTGCAGGAAACTGAAACAAATCTGGACTTTAGATGGAGTGAGTGAGAGAAAGAGAAAATGAAGAGAGAGAAAAAGAAAGGGACCAGGAAAGATTAGACAAATTTAGAGAATGTAATTTGTAAAAAAAAAAAAAAAAAATTAAAATTGAGAATTTAAGCAGACAAAAAAACTAAAAAAGGACAGCAGTCTACTGTCGAATTTAGCTCTTGTGACTGCAAACAGTCTCACCCAAAAGGAAAGTATTACATGCCCAAGATACAATTATTTACTAAAGATAAAAAAAAAAGGTAGGTCAATACTCGATATTGGACCTACGGTTTTATTGTGCTCTTTTATCGTATTATTATGTCACACCGATGTATTAAACGATTTAACGTTTGAAGTGTTTGTAAGGGTTTGGGATAATCCGACAATGTTGGGTAGGTTAATGGTAGAGTTACGGTTTTATTGTGCTCTTTTACCGTGTTATTTGTCTACTTGAAGTAATAAACAGAAGAACAATCAAAGTGATTGTGGTACAAGGGAAGGTTAAGAACGTGATTAAGGTGGTCGGTTTAATTATTTGTATTGTAATTAAAGAAAAGGATGGGTCCTTAAGGAAAAATAATGGAGAGGATTATGGATAGAATTAATATATTAAGATAGTTGAAAATGTGGAATACTAGTATAGTAGGGCAAAAAGAGTAGTTAGCTGGGTATGGCTGTAAAGGCTGGCTAATGAATACTATTGTGAAAGAGAAAGTGAAAGAAGAAATGAAAGGTGTGCTTGATATTCCATTTCTTACCTAGATTCTCTCTCCTATTGGACACAACCACATGTAATAGAGCCAAGAATCCAGTTGAGAATTTGCCAATATGATCACTTTAATAAGAAATTTAATCAAAATTACCTTTTACTTATAAATTCTCAAAAAAAAAAAAAATTGATAAAATAAATTTATAGAGAATTTTATGGAATTTTTTTTTTTTTGTTTTCATTTAATGGTTTGTCATCATACCCAATTTAGATTTTGATATTTTTGGTTTTGCATGTTTTGTCCTATCACTTTTGAAGTATAACTATGAGATTTTCCTAAATTAATCAATTTAATTTAATTTTATGTTTTTGTATACCGACATCCAAACAAGTTAAATCTAAATACACTACATGATTATATACGGAGTATCATATTTATACAATTTATTTATAAATTTATTCCTTCAAGTTTTAGTTTTTGAATACACTATCAAGTATGTAACAAGTATGAATTTGACAAGGTTGGGTGTGTGAATAATAGAAGTTATTCCGATTAATTTAATTAGTCAAATATTTTTATTTTGTGTTTGGGGTAAATAAGGATTATTATTCCATATATCTTAGTATCTTAGTGGTGTTTGTGTGTCTATCATTTTGTAAAGACCAACTGTAATTCTTATTGAGTAAAAACTCTTGATTGGAAATTTGGAATAAATGACATGCATTATCAATTATGGTGAGGAAATTAACTTGACCAATCGAAGTTACCTATCTTCAACTCTTTTGGCCTTTTGTTTGCCTAAAGCAAGCACAATTACACAAATGGCGCACAAATTATAGGGCTAGTAATGTGTTACTTACGTACTTGTTAGCAATAAATCTAAAGTTTTAATATATTACCTCCGCTTCAAATTACTCGCAACTTTGGGGTATTATTTGTGAGATATAAAATATTCCAAAGTTGCGAGTAATTTGGACCGGAAGTAGTATTATTAGTTATGATGAGTCTTACAACTTACAAGAGTTACAACCCTACAATACTTTATAATATTGTTCTTTTAACCTGAAATAAAATACTATTCAAGTCATAATATTGTTCTTTTAACCTGAAATAAAATACTATTCAAATCTGATAATTCGGATTATTAACGTTTGATTCATTTTAAAAGATTTGATAGTATAACCCATTAATATGATTCGAAGTACTAAGTATAATTTTACATTGTAAAGACGTAAATCTTTAGTTATTTTCTTCCAATATATTCATATCTATTTTAATAATACTATTTTTGTCAAGATAATACGGCCTTATACAAATATTTAATTTATTCAAGCCCCATCATCAAGGCATACCAAAAAAACCAAGAGATTGAGCAATGTTTATTGTTTACATCATCAATAGACATTAGAGGTTCAAATCTTGTTGGCGACGGCTATATTCAAGTCATAATTAGGTTCCTCGTACTAGAACATTGATTATTTTACATTACCAAACCTCTAGATTATTAATGAATAACGTGAATGCAGTGTATGGCTTCATGGTGAATTTTGTATTGTATTGGAATCATATGACATCCCATCATATAAGATCCCATATAATAGTAACTACAATATTAATTAAATACTTCGTAGTTTATTGCATATGGTACGACGTACGTATAATTTGTTATGATATTAAATTATGGTTTTGGTAGGCCAAAAAATGGGGTACGATTTGGATGCTTAAAGTTGTTGTACTTGTACAAGGTGTACAAATTTGGCTTCAAATCAAAAAAAATTGTTTCATTTGAATTAGCTTTTTAGCAAAAATATTTGTTCTCAAATAATTAATGTTTCTAATATGATGCTTCTTCTTCAAGTTAGATTAAAGTAGATCAAGACAATTAAACGTAAGGTACACGTACTATATTAGTAGTGACTAAAGGCCTAATAATGTAGTAAAGTCCAATTAATTCATAGCATATGGAAATTTTTTCCAAATCATGCTTTTGACCAATTTTAGATGATTTGTTACAATTACAACATTGCACGAAAATGTTGGCAAGGGTGAAGAGTGGGTAATGTTGTGTCAATAACTCAATACTAGCATGTTTTGTTCCAAATTCTAATAATTTTTTATTAAAGATCTGTATATCAAAACAAGTGCAATACACACAAAGTAAAGTATGTATTGCCTATTCATTTACTAATTTAAATTTAGTCATTGGACCGGGTAATACCTTGACTCATCAAATTTATAAGTTTGATCAAAATTAATTAAGAATGGTTGATGTTGAACAATATTAATAAGTGAATGAAAATATAATAATTTTTGTCATCATTCATTAATATACATAAGGCACCTATATCAAATTTATTTAGGGGGTTATATATATGAAGAGTTTTTCAAGTAAATTAAACATTATTATAGTGAATTACAGCTACGACAATGAAGAGTTTTTATTTTAAATTTCACAAAAAAAAAATGAAGAGTTTTTTTTTATAGAAACTAAACATATTACTACAATTTAATGTGGTGAGAGAAGGATGATGACACATATATTGATGAGAAGGTATTGCGTCTGTCTGACTAACGAAATGTTCCGTCAGTTCCGGACTGACGAAATGCGGATTTTGATATCCTCAATTAGCTTAATGATATCCTCTATTGGTTGTATGATATCATCCGCTGATATTCTCTACTGGCCGGATGATATCCTCTATTAGTTGGATGATATACTCTACTGGTTATATGATATATCATGACTGGATGATATCATATAGCTAATAGAGAATATCATCTAGTCATGATATCATATATCCAATAGAGGATATCATTCAGCCAATAAAGGATATCATAAACACAATCATAAAGGATATCATAGACACAATCATAAATGATATCATATAGCCAATAGAGGATATCATCCAACCATGATATCATATAGCCAATAAAGAATATCATTCGGCCAATAGAGGATATCATCCAGCCAGTAGATATATAATCCAGCTAATTGAGGATATCATCTAGCCAGTAGAGGACATGATCCAGCCATTAGATATATCATCAAGCTAATTGAGGATATCATCTGGCCAGTAGAGGATATCATCCAGCCAGTAGATGATATCATCCAGCCAGTAGATGATATCATAATCCGCATTTCATTAGTCCGGACTGGCACAGTAGTTTGTGCATATAGATTGATATATGGCACTAAATCATATTGAAGGAAGGGTGACACATGGCGTTAGCGCGCATGTTCCTATACTACCTCCGTTAAATGTTTTCTGCAACTTTTGGAGGGTTTGCGGTTCACGAAGCAAAATTTGATAATAGTGATTAATGTATTCTAAGGGTATGTAATTAAGGTGGAGAGAGAATATTTGGATGATTAATTAACCACCCACTACCACTCCTAAGACCAGCCAACACCACCGCGGTACTGCCTTCACCAACACCACCACCGCGGCACCGCCTTCACCAACACCACCGCTGCCTTCAACGCCGGCTTCACCACCACCACTACCATCCCCACGATACCACCACGAAACCCCCACCATTTTAGATCTGACGGAATTAACCACCACCACCATCACCATTCTCCCGAAACCCCCACGAAACCGCCACCAGCCCCTAGATTTGACGGAAACCATCAAACCACCAACACCATTCTCACGAAACCACCACAAAACCCCCCACGAAACCACCATCAACCCAACGAAACCCCCCACAAAACCCCCACAAAACCACCATCAACCCAACGAACCCCCCCCCCCACAAAACCCCCACGACGAAACCCCCACAAAACCACCTTCAGCCCAACGAAACCCCCACAAAACCACCACCACCATTCTCACAAAAGCCCCCATAGATCGACGGAAACCCACTACGAAATAATCACCACCAATTCAACAAACCCATCAGGAATTCAATTTCTTGAAAGTTGAAGAGAGAGAGAACGAAAGAAGATCTAAAAAGATGATGAGAAATAATGATATGGAATGAGGAGAGAGAAAATATGGGGGTAGATGAAGTTGAAGATGAAGGTGGTTGGGGTAAAAATTGGGTGAGAGATTGGTGATTAATTAAATTTTGTTATAGTTAGTAAATTGTGTTTTAATTTTTTAAATGAGGGTAAAATTGACATTTGACTATTTTTTTTACTAAAAGTGGAAAGAAATTTTTTTGTTGCACATAATGTTTAGCGGACAAAAATAGTAAAAGTTGTAGAAAACATTTAACAGAGGTAGTATATGAGTTTAGATAATATCATAGATGAACAAGATCTCATAGTAGAATGCTAGATGTGTTAGATGCTCTAAGTTTGAAACTGGGTGAGGAGAAAAGCCCTATGCACTTCACCTTATTTTTGCTTAACTAAAGTTATTTTAACTGGATTGTTATTATTTTTGCTAAACTTAAAATATTCTTACTGAACTCAAATTAATTAATTTTACAAGATTGAAATTATTTGGGAAATTATCAATGATGACCCCGCCCTCAACTTGTGAGACACATAAATGGTGA